CCCCAAAACCCCAAAACCCCAAAACCCCATAAATTCAAGAATAAAAATTGCATAAGATTTATCAAATCAAGATTAGAATTGTAAATATATTCTTCTTTTTTCTTGTCAATTATCTTTCTCTGGCTAATGATTTGCTTTAAATGTCTATCCTGATCTATTGTTTGAGTTCTTTCTATCATTTGATTTGTCTCTGCTGTATTTATCAAACATTTTGACACTTCTAGCCATTTCCAAATCACTATAATATAAGAATGTTAAACTTTACTATTCTTACTTTAATTGCATTAGACTCTACTTTGATAGGTACTTAGCTTGATGAGATTCTGCTAAATCTCTTTAATTATCGTACTCACCAAAATAAGGACTAGGATTAGACTAAATAGTCCCATGCCTATCAGTTGATTATTGGTCAACCATTAATAAGTTGTGAGTTTAGCTATTCAATTTGATTGAATTCTTTAGCATTCTGTGAAGCTCTTCTATTTCGTTATCCTTATCCTTAAGCATCTTTATTGTCTCTTTCATTTTCCTCTTCAATTTTGAGTATTTGGCTTCAATGGTTTATCTTATTGTCTTATTTTCTGCTTCCTTTTCCTCTAATTACTGAACTAGCTCTTTGACTTAAGAATGAATAACAACTAGCTCTTTTTACTTCTCTTGCTTCCATGACTCATATTGAGAAATTTCTTGCTCATTTGACTAAGATAAGTGCTTGAGTTGTTCTTAAGCATCTTGCATCTTCAATTTCTCTTGTTCAATATAAGCTTTTAACGAATCGTATTCAGTCTCATATTTAGAGGACACACTATTATACTCATTTTAAATTTGATTGTAGACAACTTGAATATCTGAGAAAACAGTTTGCAATCTTTGAGAGTATTTCACCTTCACATTCTTTACGTGATCTTTAAACATTTTAAGCTGATACTGATATTTTAATGCTAGATTAGATTACTGCTCTCTTAGCAGAACAAGACACTTTGTTTTAACTTTTTCAACTTTACCTTGGTAAATGTCTTTGATCTGCAATAGCTATTACATTAATTGTTCTAGCTATAGCTAATTCTATTAGTTTTAATGATTCAAATCAGAGTTATTTTTCAATAGTTATATATTCTCCTTAGTTAATTCCTCATTTTTATCAGCAAGTTGTTTATTTTCCTTAGCTATGCTTTCAAATTTTGCTCTATGTTTCTATATTTCACTGGAGAATTCATTCTCTTTATTCATAATCTAAGTTTATTAAAGACTGTTGATAGTCTAGTAAGTTAAAATTTTGAATGATAATTCTTCCATTGCTTTTGAAATGGTAGTTGTTGTCTCTAAATTCTATATTCTTTCAGCTTCTATCTCGTTGTAGAGATTGTTGAATTGTTCTTTAATAGGCTGTATTTACTGATTGATAAGTCCTTCCATCTATTGATTCAGGTTAAATAGTCTGAAGTTCAAATTATTGTTCAAGTTTTGCAAATGCTAATTTTCTTCTATAAGGGTTTCTACTTATTTCTACAAATCTTTATTCAATCTATCTAACTTATCACTCTCATGATTTCTAATTTGCATTTGATCCTGAAGATTTATCAGTTTTTAGGATAATTCAGTCATTAGGCTATCTTTTTCTTAAATGGCAAGAAGGGTTTTAGTCAACTGTTCTTAATATGAATTGGCTTTCTGGTGTACCTCATCTAGCTGGCCCTTTAAATCTTAATTGGTTTCATATTGGCCGTCTAACTCTTCTTGTTTCTACTAAGATTCCTCTTATAATTAATTTATATCGTTCTGATAGTTTTATTACATTTGCTATGCTAATTCTGAGATTTGTTAGATCTAGCTTTACAAGTCATTGTTAGCTTACTCCATTTGGCCATTTAATTCTTCTAGACTTTGAGACTATCTATTAGACTTTTCTAATTGCCATTGAACTTCTTCTATTCTCTCATCTCTTTCTCTAGTAACCCTTTTCTAATCGAATAGCTGATTTTTTAAATTATCAATCTCCATATTTAAGTTTTGAAGTTTGACTTCTTACTCTCTCATTTTATTTCCGAACTCACCCTCAAACTCCTTAATGACTTCTTTCCTTATTTTGACTTTGGCTTCTTGTATCTTAGCTTTTTGTTTCTCTAACATTTCTTGTACCTTATCGTTAACTATTTCCTCATGCCTACAAATCTTTATATAATCTTTCTCAAACTATTTAACTTTGCTCTGTATCTAATTTTTAATAGTTTCAGACTCAGATGATTGCTTTTGAATCTGCTAGTTATGATAGCTTTGCATTTCTGAGAGTTTATCATTCATTATTTATTGGTATTGCTGCTATAGTTACTAAATCTACAGTTATGATTGAAAATTAGCCTCTTATAACTTTTATTAGATTGACAATTCTAGTTATTGAGCATTTGTCTAAGAAGCATGTTTCACTGCAATCAATTCTTCTTATAACATCTAAATCTATGAAATGTAATCTTGGCTCTTTTTAAGTATATCAAATCATTCTTGCTAAAATTTTTATAAAGTATTTTTCTGTTCAACTACCTTCTATTTAAGCATTTTATTTTTAACTTTAAGTTTATCCAACTATTTTTCTATCTGTTTTTAGGATTATTAAATCTATTGTTCGAGTATACTTTTTACCAATAGCTAAGCTTAAGGCTAAGTTTGATTATCATAACTAGGGCCTTGAAGCTATTAAATTTGTTGAAATAGTTATTAGGCCAAGAATGATTACTAGAAATTAGACTAATTTTCTTTTTATGATGAGCAATTATTAGGATACACTTGATTTTTAAGTTAAGAATTGTTAAGCACTAGACTTTTTTGAGAGCTTTTGTTGCTCTGTATATTTAAATGAGGATTATTATTAAGCATGCTGCTATTTTGATTTAAAATCTCTTGCACTCTAGCCTTTAGATATTAGTCTTATTCGTTTAAAATCTGACTCTCAATGTTTGTATAGTTATTTTGATTCTAAGAGGTATTCAAATTGTTTTAATAGCCTTTGCTAGATATTTAACTACTGTTTGCATTATTATTATGATTAAAATTAGAATCACTTTAATTGTTAAAGGATGAAGTCTAAATAAATTGCATCTGAGGATTTTAAATGTTTTACAAGGACAAGTAGTCTTAGGCAAGGATGTTGCTTTGACTATGCTTGTTAAGTTAATTTGAATGAATGTTGTCTTGAGAATATTCAAAATTAGATGTGGATAATCCAAGTTTCGTAGGTGGAGAGTTTTCTCCGACAAATGATGTCTGACCTGAGCTCGAGGGTGGAGGCTAATTATTGAAAATAGAATTAGCGGTCATTGGGTTATAAACATATTAGTTTTGCATGGACATTGAATTCGAAGAATTACTGATATTCATATTTGAATTTAGTTATAATTTAACTGACTTATCAATTTTATTAGCCTGCTTGAAGATCTATCCTTCAAGGGGTTTTGGGGTTTTGGGG